AACGCCACAAAGAACCCAAGAAGGGCTCCCACAGGACATACAGAACATCCCACAGCACACTAGGATCACAAGTTTGAGGTCAGCCTAGGCTACATAGAATTCTAGGCCAGCCTGAGCTACAGAGGGTTCTAGGCTTGCCTGGGCAGCATAGGGAGACCCTGTCTCAAAATAACGCAGTGGGTCGGAGGGCAGGATTGGGAGCAGAAAGCCAAGTTGCTTTAGTTGATGTGGAAAGATTACATAGAGGGAGTGGCCAGCAGATGGGGGGGGGCAGATTTGACAGCCTGTGGAGTCATTGGATCTCAAACCCCTGCTGGGATGGTGGCTGTCTCTGAGGCAGGGCGTTCTGAGAATGGGCATCTAGGCTAAAGAATAATAAGCGTATTTGGGGACCTTGAGCCATTTAGGAACATGGAGTGCAGCCAGATGGCATAGGGCAGTCTCAAGGGAAATGGGGACATACTCAGGAGAGACACCGCTGGGAGATTCGCCTTGAGTGGCTTGGATAAGGGGGCGGTGGTTGAGTGAGATCCTCCAAGGAAAGCCAGGTTCAACAGCTGGGGAGCAGGGGGTGAGCCCAGAAAGAGAAAGACGGGTGCCTCCTGTGAACGAATAATAATGAGGAGGACATACTGTGTTTCCTCGTATTCCAAGGGCATAATGGCACGACTGTGCATCGGATTTAAATAGGTCATCTGTGACCTCCGCAAGAGCAAGATCCTCTGGGGTGGGCACACCAGGGGCCCCAGGGGAGCAGGTTCCGGGGCAAACAGGAATCAAAAAAGCAGAACTGAGTTTAGACTACTCTCCCATAAGCATTCATTGGAAAATGTGAGGGATGGCCAAAGAGGGGCAGGGAGCCAATTGTTTTTTGTTTTTTTGGTTGTTGTTGTTTTTTTCCTTTTCACTGTGGAATACTAAGTCAATATTTTAAACGAATTTTTGTGACATTGTACGAATCTAGATGCACAATGATGATGAACTCAACGGGAAACAACCAGCATCCATCTTCCATGGTACCCATCGACTCTGCCGCAGGCGGGGGGGCAGCTTCCACCCAGGCTGCCCTCCGTCTGCTCTGTGCACCTTACAGAACGGCTCCCAGAGCTGAGCCACCCACCACATCCGCAGAGCGTGGCAGCGGGTTTCCTAGGACTGGGTGTCCAGGCTCTGGCTGCCATGTACAAGTCCTGGGCAGTGGAGGCAGATATGCGAAGACCAGAGGAGGCTCGGGTTTTATAGACATTTTAAAAATAAGTGGCCTTGTCTAGTAGCCGGCGACTTCAGAGCTGGGCTGGCAGGATGGGAGACAGAAGCTCGTAGCCTAGACTGGAAATGGACGGAAAATGGAACAGGACCAAAGCGCACTAGGTCCTTAGGCACTGTGGGTATGAAGTACAGGACAAGCCCTCACTGCCAGCCACTTGTCTCTCCCCACCCCCCACCCCCCACCCCCCACCCCTACAGCCCTTCTCTTCCCTGACTGGAGTAACTGGTCCCTGCCTAGGTCGGGGCCAGCACTATCATAGTGATGCTGAGCAAAATACAGCCCTCGATGACTCAGAGGGCCCTTCCCATACCATGGTGCGTCTCGTCTCCATGACAACCCTGAAAGGCCTTCTGTTCATATACTCAGGAAGCCGCGTGGGAGATGCAGGGAGTGGAGGCCAGAGTACCCAGGTCCCAGAAGTGTAGCACTGAATCACGGGGTTGGGATTTTGAGGGAGGACTTGACCCCTAGAAGCTTGACATCTTTCGGAGACACAGTGACCTTTTTCACCTCTTAGTCCTCTGCCGTCGGGGGGGGGGGGGGGGATCGCTTGTTCTCTGTGAGTCTCCTTGTGTGTAAATTGGGGACCAGCCGTGCCTTGCCGCCTCACAGGGACTATACAGAACAAATGAGATTTTTCAGTCAAGGCTGTGACCACTCTAAAGAGAGTACACATTGGGGGTGGGGGGGTCACGTGACCTGTGCTTGGCGCGTGTGCAGTCAGAGGTCGTCTACCACAGTGGGGATAGGAGGCAGGGCTGCCCCTGCCATAGTTAAGATGGGCACTTCATGTTGTTCAGGGCACAGTGACAAGGCAGAACTAAATTTTTACGACGGCTTGGCGCGGTAACCAGGTTCAAATCCTGCTCATTACATTCTGCCGTGTGCTCCTGAGCGATCAATTCCTCGGCATCTGAGGAGCGGGCTGATAAATGATGGAGGATTTACCAACTTGCTGAAACTCTGAGACTGGCTAATATTTGAAAACCCCCGTTCGTGAACCCAGAGCAGGGGCTGAACATACTGCTGCTGATGATGCTGATGTTGCTGATGATGATGATGATGATGATGATGATGATGGCGGCGGCAGCGGTGGCCACCTCCCTGTGGCCAGGCAGAGCCAACTCTTCGCTTCAACCACCCTCCTGTGTTCTGTGCCGACAGGTCCGGGCTCTGGTTCCCTGCGAGAAGCTGCCACGGCCCACCGAGATGTCCAGGCACCATAGCCGCTTCGAAAGAGATTACCGCGTAGGCTGGGACCGCCGCGAGTGGAGTGTCAATGGGACCCACGGGGCCACCAGCGTCTGCAGCGTCACCTCCGGGGCCGGCGGAGGCACAGCCAGCAGTCTCAGTGCGCGACCAGGCCTCCTGCCGCTGCCCGTGGTGCCCTCCCGGCTGCCCACACCGGCCACCGCTCCTGCTCCCTGCACGACGGGCAGTAACGAAGCCATCACCAGTCTCGTGGCCAGCTCGGCCTCCGCAGTCACCACCAAGGTAAGACCTGGGATCCCTTTCTGGGGCGGGGGAGCCAGGCAACCACTCAAGCCCAGGCCGGCCTCGGGGGGGCCTTACTCCCTGGTCCATGTCACCAGAGTCCCGGCCTCCGTGGGGAGTGCCTCGCAGCTGTTTCTGAAGGTTAAAATGGCCTCGTCTGCCAGACTGTCTCTGTATGCAACGAACGTGTAGGAAGGCCAGCAGGTGCGGAGGCCACGCACGCGCTGATCGAACGCCACCGGATGAGGGATATAAGAGTATTGCCAAGTATTTCCCCTAAATAGGGGGACTAAACGCAAATAAGTCCCCCTGGGGGTCATCAGTGGCCGGGGTTTTGCAGCTGTATACTAGCCACCCAGGGTGAAGAGCCCATTACAGATTCATCACCACGGGAGGGTGTTCTCGTGTCTATCGTGTCTGCCTGATGGCTGAGGGTCCCTGGACATACTAGTTAGAGCAGTTACTATAAGGACTCAGAACTCATAACTCATACCAGCAGTTGACTGCAAGATATTAGCTCCTGATCCCTCTGCCCCCCCCCTCTTTTTTTTTTTTTTTGCAAGAGGCGGTTCCAGAAACCTCAGGAATGATGGCAAAAGCCAGTGTGTATAAAACGGAATGTGGAAATTAATGTCGCCAAGGCTCTTGACGGGCTTTGGGATGAACGGAGGGGCTCTGAAGCCCCCTCTTGCATGCTGTGCAGAGCCCTTCAGGCAGACCGAGCCTCAGAGGGACGGCTGGTGGCCAAGGCAAGGAACACATTCATCCCATCATCCCCCTCGGCCAAGCAGAGGCTCCGCAGGCCGTCTTTGCCTCTGCCAGCCATTCAGAATCCCTTCCCAGGAGCCCTCTCGGGGCTGCATGTGTGCCTGTGTGGGGGTGTGTATGTGTGTGCTGCACGTGTGTGTGCGCGCGCGCTCTTTTCTTTTCCTGCGTTCGTAAAGGTTGCAGGAGAAATTAAAGGCGGGAAGCCCCAGGCTGGCCATTGTGAGGTAGCTGTGGTGGTGGACGATGCTCTCCGGGTGCTCTGTGCCTTTGTCTCTACGATTTTCAAAACTCCCTTTCAGCCCTGCTTCCCATTAATAACGGCACTGCTGGCCGCAGAGCCCGGCGGAGACCCGAGACAATGGAGCTATTGGAGGCCAGCTTGCAGCATGCTGACATCTTGCTGCAATGTCTTATTGATTTTATTTTCCTGTTATGAAAACACCACCCCACCAAGGCAGGGAAGGAAGTAATACCAGAGAGGAGCAGAGATGGAAGATTATTTGGGCACACTTCCCCCAAGGCCAGCCAAACACATTCCTGTCCTGGGCACCAGGCCCTGGCCACTCTGAATTGGTGACCTCTGCCCAGGATAGCCTGCTGCCAGCCCTGCTGGCCACATCTGGCAGGCAGTCTTCGAGGCCAGCTGTTCACCATCTGGAGAACGGTGGCCTCTGGAGCCGGCAGCCAGGGCTCCAGGTGCGAGAGAAGCTGGACCCGCGGACAACACTTGATGGCTTCCATCCCTTCCGATGAGTGCCTTAGAGCCAGTATTGAGTACACCTGGGTATGTCACTGAGGGTTCTTCCAGGTGAAAGACAGTGCCCATGGCTCTCTGAAGGGACGCCCCGCCCCTGCCCTGGACACATGGCACCTGCTTGGCTCCAAAATAGCTCGGTATTCACTAGCCCTCCTCCCTAAGCCAGACCCCAAACCACAACCACATGGGAGGAAAAAAAAAAAAAACAAGCCGCAGACAGAAAACAACAGCTGGAACAAGGACTGAGTCAGTAGCCAACCCAGAGTGGGAGAAAGGGCAAACGTTCAGGCCTGCTAGGGAGGTCAGCGTCATGGCCTGTGGCAGCAGAGAGACAAGATGCCATTCTCTACTGGGCAAGCATCTCAGCAGCCCAGTGTCACGCCTGCAGGGTTTGCTTTGGATCTGGCTAGGGTCTGAGTTCTCTGGATTGCTAGCGAATTGTATGCAGGGACAGGGTGGGAGAGTAGCGAGGCAGCTAGCTGCCCGTGGTGGTTTCGATGGAGGGCACCGGTCTTAGATATGTAGGCCAGCTGTTCTCAACCTGTGGGCCGCGACCCCTGGCCCTTTCACAGGGGTCGCGTATCCGATCTCCTGCATATCGGATGCTCACCTTACGATTCGTAACCGTAGAAAAATTACGGTTATGAAGTAGCAACAGGAATAATTTTATGGTTGATGGTCCATGAGGGACTGTATTAGAAGGCCGCAGCATCAGGAAGGCTGAGGACCGCTGGTGTAGGCAATGGTGCCTCCTATCACTCTGGACTTGCTGCTGCTGGCCCAGATGTCTGTCCTCCAGCCTGTGTGTCTACCCGCATGCCCAGATCCCATCAGTGGACACCCAGGCCAAATTCAGGTATCTATCAGCAGTTTCCCTGGTCAACCAGGTCTTTACCAAGCAGCCACTGAAGAGCTGGCTCTAGCTATTGGGGAAATCGTGGGTCAGCGTATAAATGAATGTGCAGCCAGATGAGCCGGTATCTTCCCTGTTGACGTTATTGGTAGAGGTGATTCAGTGGAGTAGATAAAGCTAGGCTTTGAAGACGTCTGAATTTTAATTCCAATCAACCTCTGGCTGATACTGAATCCCTGTGGACCTCAGTTCTAGTTTTGGGTGGTAGTCCCCGATGACCAGATTTACCATGAGGATTGCATACATGGAATTCCATGTAAAGTGCTTGAAATAGAACAGGCACTGGCTGGCGGTTCACCCACTAAGCAACGAGGTCACCCCTTCACCGCTGTCTCCAGGCATTGGCCCTGGAAGAACAAGACTGTCCTATTGTGAGGAGAGGGGTTCCCTTCTACCATCACCTGGGGAGTGGGGGGGGGGAGTTCTCCAGAGGGAGCACCAAAGCTGGAGCCCTGAACGGGTGGGGAACTGTTTGAGCGCTTGGGATTCAAGATGACCTGGAAGGAAGACCGGAGCTAAGAGGGGAGGAGAGAGGGAAGAGGTGACCGAAGAGGGTAGCTTCTCGGATCCAAACTCAAGCTGAATGACCAAGGCGGAAGATCTGAAAGCTTTTCATCAGCCCAGGAGGCTCTTTCCTTAAAGGAAAATATAGACCCCATCATCTCAGCAGGCGAGGAGAGGAAGGAAGAATGATGGTGTGGTCAGAAGGACCACCCCTAGGGACCCAAGCACGCTGATTCCGAGACAAGGGGCAGCTCTCAGGCCTTGGGAGACATCCCTTTGTTGTCAGGGGGACAACAGGTTGACCATCCCATGCTCTGGGGTCCCTCGGGGCATCCCTGCCCACTCTCCATGCCAAAGTTCCAGTGCTAGGGTCGGCCCTGGCGAGGGTCTGGGCTATTGTCTGGGAAGGCATTCATGCTCCCAGAGACTGGGGTCGCAAGATGATGGCAATTGCTTTTGTCGTGGCCGCCTCCAGGCCCGATTTGATTTTTCTGTGTCTTCTTCGGTTATCCACGGCCCAAAGAATCCCTGCGTGTTTGGATGAAAGGCCAGTTGGGTGAGCATGGACTCCTGGGAGGTTGAGATACCAGGAGGGTCTAGAAGGCTATACCTTTCCACTCCCCAATACATGGCCATTGCTCTCCAACCTCCAGAATACGAGTTGCCCACGGCGAGCTTTCTTGGAGACCACCCACCCAGCCCCATTTTTGCAGCTCAGAATAGTGAAGCTGGGAGAAAAACCTAACTACTTCCCAAGATGGAACCAACCCGGGCCGGCTCCCTCCATCCCAGGCTGCTTAGCTAGCAGCCTCCATTCACCATGGAAACCATGATGGCAAGAGGATGACAGCAGCTTTCGCCATCACTGGTGTCCACCTAGGGACCGTAAACTCTGGATTTCAGGCCAGAAAAATGGGCAGGTTTGCTTCTCATGTCACAGAAGGGGAAAAGGTAAGGCAAAGAGTCCGTGGACCCTCACTGCGCAGCTGCCGGGAGATTCTGGATCAGACAGCCTGGGATCGAATCCTGCCGTCGGCAAGTGAGGCTTCAGTTTCTATGTCTACAAAATGGAAATGATAATAGCATGTTTAACGTAAGGATTATGTAAATTAATATGTGCAGAAAACACTAAAAGGATATGTGCCACTGAGTAAGCATTCCATCAAAGTTCATTTTAAGGCTGAGAAGACGGTTCGGTTGATAAAACGCCTACTGTGGTCCTGAGTTTAGGTTCCCAGCGCCCATATATAAAGACAGGCGTGGCAGCACACGCCTCTAATCCCAGTGCTAGGTGGGCAAGGACAGGTGGGTCCCTGGGGCTTACTGACCAGCCAGTCAGTGAGCTCCAGGTCCAGTGAGAAAATCTGCCCCAAAACCTAAGGTGAGGTATGGTTAAGGAAGACCCCTGATGTTAACCTCTGACCTCCTATGCCAACCTCTGATGTCAACCTCTGATCGCCACATGTTTTTGCACACATGTACATGTATACACACACACACACACACACACACACACACACACACACACCACTAGCAACTGGGTCCATCTGCAAAGCTCTTCCTCTGGGGGAGATCAGCCTGCTGGGGTTGCTGCTCGGGGGTTCAAGGGACTTTCCTGTCCCCCTCTGATGTGGTAGAGGGTGAACCTGAGGAACTGGGCCATCACCACATTCCTACTCCCACCACTGGCTGTCTGGGCACTGAGGGGGGGGGGGAGCCACGGCTGAGGAGAAAGCATGGCTCCATGCCAGGCCTGTTTGTGAGAACGGAAGGGAGGCACCGATGCCCCGCAGTTGCTGCTGCATGAAATTTAAATTATTCTCAGCAAACCTGCTTGACAGATGAAACAGAAAGGGGACAGCTTCATAAAATGCAATTCTGTTACTGAAAAGAATAGGCTGGAGGATCCTCACAGAGGCCTGCAAAATAAGTGTGGGAGGCCTCTTTTTCCTTGTGGTCAGGGGCGTTCAGTCTGAGACCTTCCCATCACCCCTTGGAGCTCAGCCTTTGAACATAAATCTGGCTAAGCAGCAGCAGCAGCAGCAGAGCCTGTGTTAG